GCAGATACGAAAATTAGCCTTTAAACCCAAAGAATCTTCTATGTTTAATGGTAAAAATTAAATTAATTGAAAATTATTTTTCTATGTGACTGAACTACACTTTTCCCATTAAGGTTAATGATATGTGCTCATTAAGTCAGATTGTATCAAAAACAGGCCTCTTTTTGTGTGGAATTTGGTGGGGGAAAACTTTCTGGAAGAGGGATTTCGAAAGCAGGCAAACTTTGCCTCTATATCATGTGGCTGTCACTGGAGATATTTTCCAAAACAAGCCTTTCCGTGTTTGGCTAGGGTATCAGAGGCTGGTGCCACGCCCCTAAGCCTCCACCCCGTGGCATTTGCCTTCCTTAACCAACAATTTTGGACCTCGACTGCCGTATTGCTCTGTGTGTTTTGGGAGAAGCAATATGAGAGCAGCCGACGTGCGAATTTCGCGTAAATAAATTTAATATCTGACGCAATCTGCCACGAAAAACAAAAGCCCGAGAGCCAAAGAGCCAAAGAGAAACGAACAAAATAAGTGAGAAAAACCTACAAAATTTCCGCGCCATGGATGTTGTGCTTTTTTTTGTGTTTTTGGTTTTCTCCGTTTTTTTTTTCTGAATTTTCTGCCCGCCATCGGCGAGCGATAAAGAGAAGGGAACGTAAACGTAAACGAATTTGTAACTCGATGATGTCGGCATCGCAGCTCACTTTGTGCGCCGTGTTCCAATTTCATTATGCAAAAATCCGGCGAAAGGCAGCGAACATTCAACACCCAACAAGCGACACATCCCACATCCAACACCCCGACTAGAATGCGCTGCAAAAATGATTAAACAAAACATAGGAAACGGCATCAAAATATACGAGGACAGACCGGATGCTTATACATCGGGGATTTCCATTTCGTAAATAAACATGAGTTCGGGAATGTGCTTAACAATTGATTTTGGGCGGCGGATGATTCGATGCAGAAATATTGCAGTAACTTGGCGAATTTTCGTCTTCCATTGATTGGCTCAAATTGGATGACAATTATATTATATTAAATGTGTATTTTTTCATTTAATGTCCAATCAACTGATTTAAGAACTAATCAAACATGATAAAAATAAAACCACAATTAAGTTTTAGTTAAACTCTGAACTCTAAAGTATGCAAGATTTCAGACCTAAGAGAAAATCAGCTTTATTGAATAAATTCGTTAGCTCAACGGAATTGTCAATAAAAATATGTATCCCCAAAGCCCCATACAGAGACTCTAAGACTCCTCTGGCTTCTCTTGCTCTTTAATCATTCCGAATTTTCCAAAATTCCTCCTGGACATTGTCCGCTGTCCGTTATCTGTTGTCCGTTGTCCGGCATTTGACGCCGTATAACATTTTTATTGCCTTTATATTTTGCTGTCCAGACTTTTGACCCACCCTTCGCCGGCGGCTGTTGTTGTTGTTTTGTGACTTCATTTCATTGAAATGTAGAATTTTTATGACACTTTTGCGTTGCGCTGCTTTGCTGCAAATATGCAAATTTCGAGTCCCCCGTCTGTTTGCCACGCCTATATTCCTATATTCTATATTCCTCCATGGGCCGACTACATGGACAGCCTCCCAAATAAATTTAAATAAAAATACCCGTGTTTAAATTTTTACGCGGCTGCTACACTTGGCAAATTAAGAAGCGATATAATTTACATTTTTAGTTTATAGTTTTACTTTGAATTTAAGAAAGAACTCTTATAAAAAGAAAAGCTATGGACTCACATTCTTACTATATAAAATTAAGGCATTAATAGGTGATGAAAAGGGTATTTTTTCAGGTGTAGGAAACAGGACGTGGACGCGAGGTGGGCGGAAACACGGACAAGAAAGGCGGTAAAAAAGAGGCGTGGCGGGCTGGCAGTGGAAATATTTATGCATTTGGCCGTGAGGCAGTTTAAGAACTCAGCCGATGAGAAGTGGGTGGATGTTTGGATGGGTGGTGATTCTTCGGCTAATGGCTGGCAAAGGAAATTTATTTTTTTATTTTTCGAGGGTTTGAGGCTGAGGTTCGACGCTTCGACTTTTTCGTTTGACTCAAAACTTGAGTTAAGATAAAAGTCATAAAGTTTGTCCCCAGCTCTCAAAGAAACTTCCACGGTTTGATCTCTGAACTCAAATACTAACTATCAAATGCTGCGTTTTTGGTAAAAGAAATAAGAAATAGTTCTTAAATTTTATTATAATATTATAAAATAATTCAACATTTCTATAGATATCTTCGTGTGTGTTTCCTTTTATCATAAAATGATGGATAATTTGCTTGATAATAACGGCTTGCATGAAAGAAATGAAATGCGACACGTGTCCAGATAAATATTTGCTCACCTTGGGGTTACCCTGACCACCTGTCCATCGTTTTAACATTAAGCAATTTCAATTTTCTATTTTCTATCGGGGAAATTCGAATGTGTCCGAGACAAAGAAAGGCCGGCGACAAAGCCGAGAACTTTAATTAAATATCCATTTCCGTTGTGGCATCCGATGTGTGTTTGTTCTTTGCTGTTTGCCTGTGTATTAGTCGGTCTTTGATCTGTCAAATGGCAAAGCACGCAAAAACAAAAGTGGAAAAGCCACAGGAAAACTCATTTACTTGACCAGAAAGGAGTGTGTGTGAGTGTGTGTTGGAGGGGGGAAATGGTAAGAAGGGAGCCGCCGATAACGTATGCATCGCACACTGACAAGATATATGATGGCAAACTTTTGCTTTCCAGCTCTCCTTGCTTTTTGTCGTTTGCCGCTCGCAGGCAAATGGTAAAAGTTTGATATCCCCTATCCCCCATCCCCCCCAATCTATCCACCGAAAGCCAGACTTTTCCCCTGACTTTCCCGACTTTCCTGACTTTCACCATGCGTGGCATTTGAAATGCTAATGGCAGATGAGCTTAGGCTGCTGGAAATCCAGAGCGAAAGTCAGCTACAGATACACAGAGAACTGGAGGCCTCATAATTGAATGTTTGGCCACTGCAGCACAGGGTGGCCAAAGCCCAGGGGGCAAAGGTCAGGGGGGGTGGGGGAGGGGCAGGATGCCAACGAGGGACCAAGGACAAACTGTTGGCTAACTAATTTAAATATCATGAATTTAACATAAATACATATCAAAATGGCAAGTGGCAAGTGCGAGCGGCAGAGACAAAAGGTTCTTTTTCGGGGCGCCCATATCTCATATTTCATATCACAACGATCTGGTGACCCCTTTTGTTGCAACATTTTACTTTCTGCTTGTGCTGCTGTTTGCCTCTTGTTTTTTTCGGTTTTTTGCCTTTTTGTTTTTTAGCTTTTTGTTGAACAACAAGAGCAGCCGAAAATAAATGTGAAATGTTGGTCGAAATCTGCATAAGCAAATAGTGTGCGTTCTTAGGGGATGGCTATGTATATGGTATAGTATGTAGATGGGAATGGGGATGGGGAGTCCCCAAGTCCAAGTCCATTGTACGTGACGCTTCGATGGGAGCAGCTACCCAGCAACCCAGGGAACCAGAAAACAAAACTTTCAATGGACTGGCAAGTCAATCTCCCAAAAAGCTAAATGGATGGGGATGCTATGTGCTTTTTAATCAAAGCCAACTCCCAGTGCTTCGGCTTGTCGCAAAATATTCTTTTTCCCTTACCCAGCACAGAAATGGAATAGAAATCAAACCGATCGGCAATTCCAGAAAAGTACAGCAAAAACAAGGAGCGACATTAAAGGCAAATAAATAATTTTGTCTTCGGCTTGGCCTCTTGGTCTTCCGTCGGTTTTTTTTCCTTTGGTTTTCGGGTTTTGTAATAAATTTAAAGTTGTCTCTGGCGCTGAGTTATCCCTACTCCCGAAGCCACCCCCACCCCTATGCCCACTTCCGATTAACCCACCCGCTGTCAGTCTGTTTTTTTAATTTTATTTTCGTCGTGCTCTACTTTTAGTCCCAGCTAAGCCGGAAGGGATCAAACGGTTTTCTCTGCCCGGCAACACAAAAAACGCACAAAAAATGAGGCAGAAAGGAAAGAAATAACATTTCGACAGCTGCTGGTTTGGGTTTAAGGGGATGGCGGGGATGGAGACGGGGGTTTCGCCTTTGGGTCAATGAGCATCAGAGGTTGACTGCATAATTTATGAACATAAATGGGCGTGACAAGGGATTAGGGGGGCGTAGCCCATGGGGGGAGGGGTATTGGGGGTCAACTAATGACCTGGCGCACTGCTAAATGCATGGAAATTGTCTGCGCCAGAGCGAATTACAATTAATTGGAAATATGGCTAAGCCAGGAATTAGCTCGGGCTGCTAAAGAAGAGATGGGTGCTAAGTCTTCGTGAAGGCAATTGAAAAGCGGAAAGAGTAATTATGGTAGCACTGGCATAAAGATTAAGATTTGCCTTGCAACTTGGCACTGGAAGGTAGTAATTTATTATAATAATAGTATAATTTCTAAATAATAATTTATAACCTAAAAACCACATCTAAATATAGTAGCTGAGTAAAATATTTAATGTACGTATCTAAATACAACCCATAACAATAATCTCTTTAATTAAAACCTCTTATAGTTTCGTACAGCCAAAAAAGACTTGATATGAAACGATGATCAATTTGATATTAAGTGGTTTTAATTTTGACTTGATATCCCAATTCGATATGCTCGAAATGTAAACACACATGTAACTCTCGCTCCATTTCGAATTGAGATAATTTAATATTATTTAATATCAATTCTACCAGTATTTCATAAAATACCAGAAATTTACCATGCGCATAGCGATTTGATCCAGGTGTGTTTGTTTTTTTTTGGGTGTATAGATCACATAGACAGGGTTGCAGCGCTTTAAACTTCAAGCTAGGGAAAAGCAGCTGTAGATCAAAACGATTCGTTGTAGCTGACACACACACACCCCTTTCGGCCTTTTACAAAACCAGTCAAAAACTAAAATATATTAAAAAGTGCAAAATTCGTAGAGAGCAAAATAAGAACCTTTTCAATTAGATTTCCCACCAATTACACACCTCGCCACAATGACCTCCAGTTTGGTGCTCCTGATCGCCAGTATTGTGCACTTCGGAATGCGCGGCAGCTGTCTGCTGGACATCGAGCGCTTCCAGGTGATTCCGGGCACCGTGTACGCCGGTCACATTGCCTACTGCGCCATCCTGCACTTCCTGCACGACACGGAGGTCCTGCCGCTGCGCTATCGCCGCCGGATGGGCTGGCTGGCCGCCTTCCTCGTCGAACTGGTCCTGGGCGTGGCCATCATGGAGGTCCTGGCCCTGTGGCTTTGGTGCAGTGTGGAGCACATCCTCCACCTGGCCACTCAATTCGTCCTTCGTCGCTACCTCGGCGTCTCCCCGGATCTCTACCAGCGCTGGGAATGGGCCATCATGGGCGGCCTGATGACCTCGTTGGCGGCTCTGCTCTGGCTAAATGCCTACGAGGCCACGGAGCCCGAGCCTGAGTTGCTATCCAGTGAGAAGAAAGTCAAGTCGAGGGTTGGGAGTCATCAGCCGATCAAGCGGGAGGAGAAGAAGCAGGAGCAGCAGGAGGTGAAAGATCAAGAGGAAGTGCAGCCTTCGGAGGAGCAACCAGAAGAACCAGAAGAGATTTCTGGAAGTTTTGAAGTTCTGGCCACAACCACCGATTGCTAGCCAGTGCTAACCTATCTCCTATCCACTATCCTCTAGCCTAACCCTTTGAAGTCCGCCGGACAAAAGGACTCCCTCGGCAAAAGCGGCCTCAATTAGTTGAACGATCCTGCCGGGAAGGGAACAAAACCAGGAGAAGGAGCAGTAGCACCCGGAACAGGGGAAAGCAAATGTATTTATTCCAGCCAGATGGACTCGAAAAGCTCTAAAGACCGTGGCAAAAAGGATGCTGGGAAAGAGGGGGCGTGGCCAGTGCTGAGAATGGGTGCTGAAAATGATGGACTGCAGTAAAATGTCTATGAAAATTGACTTGGTGTTCTGTGCTCTGTTCTCTTCTGGCATTGAGAGGCAGTCGGGCGGAAGGAGCTGCCACAGCGCCTGGATGCGCGTCAATTGACAAATTGTCGGTCCTCCTATTTTGTCCTCACAGCTCCCAGCTTCCCACTTCCCATTCACTTCATTTCACCCCGAGAAAGTCATCAGAACTTTTGTCTAATTTCATTTCGTTTCACTTGAAGGCCAATTTTTTGGTTTGGTTTTTATTATTCATACAATTTCTAGCAGCGCGATTTTGGCATTGCGTATACGCAGTGTGGATCAGGGAATTATGAATTTTTAGCTGTGTGTTTGTGTGCTTGTGTGTTTGTGGGGGATGTATGTGTATGCCTAAGCAAACAATGGACGAGCAGAGCTTTTGTTTATTTTCTTCCTTCACTGTTGCTTATGTTGCTTATGGCCATAACACCCACACACAGATACATGGGCACTCATACACTCACAACAGTGGCGAATTTTCGGTGCGTGCCTGCCCGCTTTTCCCTTGACGGCCACCCACTTGCCACTTCCCCATTCCCTGTGATCCTGTGTTGTGTATTTATGGAAACATTGCTCCGAAAATATTTTAAGGACGACCAACTCGGATGAAAGAAATACGGGGGAGGCTAATGGTGCAGGTGCGGATGCGAGTGCGGATGCGGGAAAACCTTTGCCAGACGCTGGAATTGATGATAATACCACCACCGCTGCTCCTGCCGAATACTGAATACACAAATTCATTGGTTCAACCATGATTCAGACTTGAGATTCAGAGGGGAACAACTGCTGACTCTGCTGGCCGATTATTGAGTGTCCAAAGATGGGAATAACGAAATAACGATTGCCAGGGGTCAGATTGCAGATACTTCAAAACAAAACCCTCACAGGATGGAGCCACTTAAGATTTAGTCAGTGCCCCCGAAAAAATTACGATAAAACACGTAATGAAAACGAAATAGTAATTAAAGATGAATTCTTATTTGGAGACAGGGTCTCTGTGGAAAAATCTCTATAATAAAACATTAATATTTATTTATAGATATTTATTTTCTAATATTTTTTTCTAAAATGTTGACTAACTTTCAAACAAATGCCAATTAGCAATGCCAGTAAAAAATCAGGGTCTCCGTTGAAAAACGCTACAGATATTTTTTTTTCTAATCTAACAAAATTATTTAAAAACTATGTTGTTTTAATTTTGTGTATTGTTTACCTTCCAAACAAATGCCAATTAGGAATGCCAAAAACTTTAGACTCACTAATTTTTGCCAGTGAAAACGTAAAACTGAAAACCTCACGGTCTCTATGGAAACTGTGGGTGAAAATTATCATGGGAAATAATACCACGGAACGCACTTTGCTGATCATTTGTTATCCGAGGCGCTTTTACTGAAAACTTTCGCTTTCGCTTTTTGGTGCGACTGTCTGAATGTCTGACTGTTTTTCTGTCTGTCTGTTTGGAGGACAAGAGTGTCCTTCAGCCCACTCGCCGGGTAACCAGCTGATGCTCTGTTGCTCTGATGCTGATTCTGAAGCCGAGGACAATGACGGAGCGGAGGCTAATTAGCATCGTCAACATGGGCCACCTTAAGGTCCTTTTTCCTTTTTTCCCTTTTTCCCACTCGGTGCCCCAGCTGGCTGTTTTGCAACATGATGCACGCGTCCCACGCTGCGCAGGACAAAAATGAGTTGGCCTAATGATGATACCCGGCCAACATCCCCCCCACCCCCTCGTTCCAACCCCCTCGACATGCAAAACGCCAACAATAAAAATGTCACTTTTGCGTGTTGGGAGAGCCAGAAGGAAATCATTTTCACCAAATCGCAAAATGTACACAGGAAACGAGGGGGTGCTCTTATCATAAATCACGAAACCACCGGCCACGCCCCCTTTAGAGGGGGGCTAATTAATTAATTAACAGCGTCTCATCATCATCGCCGTATTCTTAACTTCGTTGCGTGACAATTTCCCTGTTTTTTAGTTTTGCCTGAATTATTTGGCCGAAAGCGAGTTGTCAGCTAAAAAAAAAGAGAGAGGAAAAACATGGCCAACAATTAGCGAATGCCACTTGCACTTAGTTCGTTATCGGCACGCACGCTCCAGTCCCCGAAAATTCCATAAATTCCACCTCGAAATTAATGCGATGGATGCACGATAGTTGTACTAAGTATTAAGTACCAGAAATATCCTCCTAAAGTGTAGGATATATATACATATACCTATTTATATCGTGCCTGGCGGCGACAAAGAATCGGCTGCTCTTCCGACCCGACGAACATAATCCCATTAAGGACACCTCGTCGCGATGTCGACGCAAATTCCACCGGCAACAGTTAGTCGTAATGTTCATGTTAATGCCCATTTGCGACCGATATCGAGTTGCTGGCAACTATAGTCAAATAATTATCACCAAATTCGACCCAGTTGGAAGTTAGAGCAGGCCAGAGGCTCAAAATTTAATGTTTAATATGAAAAATTGAACATAAAGTTTATAAATAACAAAGGAAAAAATGTACGTATAATAACCTTAATTAATTATTTAAAGTTAACAGTGGACTAATTATAAGTATTATATATTTTGACATTTTCGTAAAGTAAGTTTAAAGTTTATGGAAATATAAAGAAATTCGTTAAATTTGAATGGTGTACTTGTATTTCCCGTCTTAACTAGGAGATTTTTAAGGATTTTAAGAATTTTAATATACCTCTTGTTTTAATATAAATATATTTATTCTTTAGTTTCGATTTCTCGCCGATTATAACTTTTCCTGTGGTCTTTTTCCTTTGCCTCGCATTGCACTTCTTAGAAAATAAGTCAGAAAACATTATCTGGTACCTCGACTATCAAATACCCCCTACTCAGTTGAGTATGAGAAAGATTGAGATATGCAAGCAGCAAAGCAATCAGTCGCTTAAAAGTGCGCCATCTAGCGGAAAATGCATTATTTGCTCATAACTTTTTAATGAACATTTTTTAGGAAATCTGTAGAGATTTTACGCTGCAAGTATGTGTATAAAAATAAGGACACGTTACCGGAATCCAAAAAAAGTCCACAAAAATGCATTTAAACAAATTTGATTGCTCGTTTGTCAGTGGTTTTGGAGTTTTTTGTTTCGTTTTTTTTTTGTTATTCCCAACGAAGCCCAAACATGTTGGCAAGTTTTTAACATTTTTTACAATTCGCTTTGCTTTTGTTTTTGCTTTTGTTTTGTGTGCTCCTCGGTTGTGCTGCTGTTGATATTACTGTTGATGTTGGGCATTGTTTGGCAGCTTTATGAAAATTTTAAGTACATAAAATTTGTATGATTTTCAACAAGTGTCTGTGTGTGTGTGTATGTGTGTGGTGGGGTGGCTAGAATTCTGAATTTGATTGCGAGTCTGCCGCACACACACACACACAGCGCTTCAGTCTTTATTGCTGCCGTTAATCCGCAAAAATTTGTAACATTTTCCAATTTGGTAATCGTCTGAATGTTTTAAAATGAGCGGGAATAATGTTTATGAATGAGGGGGAGGGGTGGCGAAGGGCGGGGGGCGGACATTTCGACGGTAGGAAAAGCTCTCGGTTTATGCAGAATTGTAATTCTAATTTCGTGTGCTTTCTGCTTTCTCTGTTCTCTTTTTCTGTTTTCCGTTTTTGGGCAGCCCTAATTGACGATGAGCTCACTCGGTGTTTACCTGTCCCAATTATAAATTTATGGAGCGGTTTTAGTTGCAGTTTATATGTGCGATTCCCGGCAAATCAGCTTAGTGCCTTCACTCTGCCTTTCCCTCTTTCCTCTGTCCAAAATTTCCAGCACCTAGCACCCAGAAGCCCAAAAGCGGAGGAAAATTCAGTGCAGGAGGAAAATCGGCTCGTGTGTGTAGGCTCCATTTTCGCCAGTGGTCAGGGACATTGTCTAGACACTCAAAGGGATGCAGGATGCAGGACGAAGGATGCTGAAGGCTGACTTACTGTCTTACTGACTGGCCGACTGGCTGACTTGTCAGCTGGCGCTCAAACAGTGTGACATTGATTTTCATTCGACAGACTCCGGCGCACAGAGCTGCTCTCACAATTTCGGCCATCTCGGGCCTTTTCCCGCCCCCACCCCCCTTGGAATCATCGAATTTCCCGGAGCGAGTTACTGGGACCAGATGCTACCTAATTGGAATTTTCACATTGCTCCTTTGGCGAAAAAATGCGGCAGGATGTCGCTTTTGGCTTTGCCATTTTAGTACGCTTGCAATGGGGACAATGATAACCTTGAGCAGTTGGCTGAAATCTAGAAATCCAGAGGATGACGGACTTGTAGAGAGGGAAGTGGCAAAACCATATATAAAACGTAGGAAGTCAGTGAAAGTGAAATCGAGCGAAAGTTTCTATAAAATGTCGAAAGGGCTTGTTATGTATTATTTTTATAAACTTCTGAGGGATCTGTTCTTAAAATGACATTAGCTTTTCTGTCAATTTTTAAATCCACGACCCGAATATAAATGCCCACAACAATGTTTTCTATTTTTTAAATTATTTTTCCAATTTATATGGTTTTTAAAGACCACAGTAATTACGGTTTGGTTTTCTTATCAATTCTGCTTATTTGTACAATCTTTTTGATCAAGAGTAAAAATAGTGCTATTTCTGACATTTATTAGAGAAAATAATAGTAGTGTGAATAAGGGAATTGGTCTTATTGAATGAATTCATTATACTTTTTAGTTTAAAATATATTGTTGCATACTTTCCGACACCTTAAGAGTGATTTCATGCCCTTGTGATTTTTGTGACATGTCCCAATATATTTTTTTAGTTAAATAAGTTTTTTAAAGGCTGCTTTTGAGGCAAATATAATGGTGATCGCTTTAAGATACTCTGCAAAATGCAGAGCAAACCATTGCAAATCATTGCTCAAAATGAAAGTGCAGGTGCATATCTTATTTCTTAGAACTAAATCCTTTTAAGAGGGATTAGATTCTTAGCTGGAATGGAATATATTTTTTTAGCTGCACTAT